TAAAACAATCCTCTACAATAAAAGATCTTCTGGAGGTATCTCTATCCCTGATCTCAAGCTGTACTATAGAGTAACAGTTATAAAAACTGCATGGTACTGGCATAGAATGGAACCGAACAGAAGACCAAGAAATAAACCCACACACTTATGGACACCTGATTTTTGACAAAGATGCCAAAACCATACAATGGAAAAAAAGATAGCATCTTCAACAAATGGTGCTGGTCCAACTGGATGTCTACATGTAGAAAAAAGAAAATAGATCCATACTTATCACCCTGCACAAAACTAAAGTCCAAGTGGATCAAAGACCTCAACATAAAACCAGAAACATTAAATCGGCTAGAAAAAAGTGGGGACTACCCTAGAACTCATTGGTACAGTAGAAAACTTCCTGAACAGAACACCAACAGCACAGGCTCTAAGAGCAACAATCAATAAATGGGACCTCATGAAACTGAAAAGCTTCTGTAAAGCAAAGGACACCGTCATCAAAACAAAGCGACTGCCTACAGATTGGGAAAGAATCATCACCAACCCTTTATCTGACAGAGGACTCATATCCAGTATATATAAAGAACTAAAGAAGCTGAAAAGCAGCAAACCAAGTAATCCACTTAAAAAATGGGGAACAGAACTAAACAGAGAATTCTCTGTAGAGGAATATCGAATGGCAGAGAAGCACTTAAAGAAATGCTCAACATCATTAGCCATTAGGGAAATGCAAATCAAAACAACCCTGAAATTGTCACCTTACACCCATCAGAATGGCCAAGATCAAAAACTCAAGGGACAACACATGCTGGAGAGGCTGTGGAGAAAGGGGAACCCTTCTCCACTGCTAGTGGGAATGTAAACTTGTACAACCACTCTGGAAATCAATCTGGAGCTTTCTCAGACAGCTAGGAATAGCGCTTCCTCAAGATCTAGCCATACCACTCCTAGGCATATACCCAAAAGAGGCTCAAGTACACAAAAAGGACATTTGCTCAACCATGTTTGTAGCAGCTTTAAACCCACTAAAATCTGTACATCTAAACAAACTAATCAAAAGAGAGGACCCTAACTAAAATGTTCAAGCCCCATTCTGAAAGGCAAAGAGGATGGACATCAGAAGAAAAAAAAAAAAAAAAACAAAACAAAACAAAACAGGAAACAACCTAGGAACCTGCTACAGAGGGCCTCTGAAAGCCAGAAGAAAACAGGAAACAACCTGGGAACCTACCACAGAGGATCTCTGAAAGCCTCTGTCATGCAGACTGTCAAAGCAGATGCTGAGCCTGATGGCCAACTGTTGGGCAGAGTGAATGGAATTTTATGTAAGAAGTGGGAAATAGTAAGAGCTGGAGAGGACAGGAACTCCACAAGGAGAGCAAGAGAACAAGAAAATTTGAACACAGGGAACTTCCCAGAGACTCATACTCCAACCAAGTACCATGCATGGAGATAACCTAGGACCCTGACAATGCAACCACTTCTGATGAGAACTGATAAACTAAGATCAGAAAGAAGGAAAGGAGGACCTCCCCTATCAGTGGACTTGGGGAGGGGCATGCATGCAGAAAGGGGGGTGGGGTGGGGCTGGGAGGGGAGTAGGGAGAGGCTTATGGGGTGATACAAAATGAATAAAGTGTAATTAATAAAAGTTAAATTAAAAAAAAAGTAAAATAAATTCCTATAAGCTTAAGAGGCTGTTACACATGTCAAGATCCAGTATTTCTGCATTTTTAAAAAGAAATCAATGATATCCACTGTTGGCACCTTGCATTGGACATAGTCCTAGAGGACATCCTCATAGCAGTTATGGGGAAAATGAACACTGGGCATTTTTAAAAATATCTGATCATATGGCAATAAAAATAATCTAAAACTTTTATGAAGGACATTATCTTGTAACTAGAAAAATATTTACATTTTAGGTCAAAAATAATTTCAGCTAATTATCAGGGTATACAAAAATTTCAATGTATTTTATATATAAGCAATTGACACTCAAAACTGAAGGTTAAAAAAAATCAGTTGCTCTTACAAAATCATAAGTAAGTGAGTGTGGTAGCCTATATCTACAATATGAGTTCCTGAGGAGCAAGCGCAACCTCATTAATAGTATTCAAATAATAGTGAGAAGTACATTGAGACTTTGTATCATAAATCAAATACATTAAAGTAATATATGTGAAGCTTGGTGGTGTTCAGGTGATCAGAGCTCACTGGAGCCTAACTCAGAAGTACCAAAGGACCCAGAAGGGCTTACATAGACTCAAGCACACAATCAAGGAACATTTATGGCATTTATCTAGTCTCCCTACACAGATGTAGCCAGTGCACAGCTTGGGCTTCATGTGGGTTTCCTAGTAAGGGGAATGTGGACTGTCTCAAACATGAACTCTACTGCCTGCATTTTGATCATGTCCTCCTGGTGGGATTGCCTAGCCAACGCACAAGGGAAGAGGACAGGCTCCGTGTTGATGTGACTTCACGAGTTGGCATGGGTTGGTGATTGGGGGCTCCACCTTTCTGAGGAATAGGGAAGGGAGACTGAGGAAATGCAAGGTAAGGTGGGATCAGGAGTAGAGGAAGGAAGGGACTGTGATTGATATGGAGAGTGAATTAATTAATTATAAAAGAGACCATCACTAATGTTCCAATAGCATTTATGAAACTATTGACAACACTTTTTTTTTTTTTTTTTTACATCTGAAACAAATTCTGAAACTCTAAGGAGGTCCCAGAGTCTTACATGAAGGTATCATGACTGTAAGAGCAAATGATGCCTTGAACATGGCCAAAAGGAACACCCTGCCAGGAAAAGCCCAGTAATTATAATAGACACCAATGGAGAAAAGAACAAATCGAGGCATGTCCAGGGATTTTTAGTAACATTTTTTTACATATGAAGCAAATTCTGATCCTCTAAGGAGGTTCCAGAGTCTTATATTGAAGGTGCAATGACCACAATAGTAGACAATGGGTTGAATGTGACTGAAAGGAGCATTCCCAGTCTATTTGTAATAGAAACCACTGGAGACTACAGTTTATTCACTTTATATCTGAGCTGTAGCCCCCTTCCTAATTCCTTCCCAATCACACCTTACCTCCCTCATCTCCCCCCATGTCCCTCCCTAAGTCTACTGATATGGGAGCTCCTCCTCCCCTTCCCTCTGATCCTAGTATATCAGTTCTCAACAAGTCTGGCTACATTATCTTCTTCTGTGGCCTGGTAAGGCTGACCTCCCCCCACCTTGGGGGAGGTGATCAAAGAGCAGCCACTGAGTTCATGTCAGAGATACCCCCTGTTCCTTTTACTAGGGAACCTACTTGTACACTGAGCTGCCACAGGCTACATCTGCGCAGGGGTTCTAGGTTATCTCTATGAATGGTCCTTGGTTGGAGTATCAGTCTCAGAAAGGACCCCTGTGCCCAGATTTTTTTTGGTTAAATTGTTCTCCTTGTGGAGTTTCTGACTCCTCCAGATCTTTTTATCCCCCCCTTCTTTCATAAGATTCCCTGCACTCTGCCCAAAGTTTGGCTATTAGTCTCAGCCTCTGCTTTGATACCCTGACAGGTAGAGTCTACCCAAGACCCTGTGTAGTAGACTGGGATCTTATTCCCTGTATACTTCCTCTTCTGATGTTCATCTCATTTGCCTTTCTGAATGAGGACTGAGTATCTTACCCAGGATCCTCCTTCTTGCATAGCATTTTTTAGGTATACAGATTTTTAGTATATTTATATGTTTAGTATGATATTATATGTCTAATATCTAATTATAAGTGATTATATATCCTGTGTGTCCTTATGTTTCTGGGATAAACTGTAATTAATAAAACAATAAATAAATTTTAGAAAATAAACCAATGGGGAAAAACAAAACAACAACAACAACAAAAATAAAACATCAAGACATGTTCCAGGAAATGAAACACATGCAAGGGCCAAAATGTTCTGACATAATTTTAACATTACACACAAAATTATCAATATTATACATGTATGAAAATGGACAGACAACAGTATATACTATTTAACTTGAAACAAGTTTATCAACTATAAAAAGGAAGAAATAACTCTGTCTTTATGCTCCTGTTGAGTAATATTTCCTTGGAAGATATGAATGAATGTGACAAATGATAGAACAAGAACAACAAAAAATTCAAAGTCCAGATCAATAAATTGACCTGAGTAGTTTTTAGTAACAGATATGTATGACATGAAGACAGCTGCATTAAAACACTTACCACAGAGTAGGTGATTATTCAGAAAAGGGACAAAAGGATCAGTACCCTAACACCAGACAGCTCCACCACACTCTACTTTCCACAATTATTCTCTGCTAATAACTATTCAAAGTGTGCTCATAAAACTCACAAATGTCTGTGTTATCTGAATGCCCTGAACTTTCCTCCTTCTTACAGGTATGACTGTTTCACCTCAAAGGAAAAGGCATTAAAATTCTTCATAGGTGATATGAGATTAGAAGCTACAAAAAGATTAAATGGAAATAATTGTATTCTAGTTCTTCTTTCTTTTCTTTTCTTTTCTTTTCTTTCTTGCCTTGAGGGTTTTAGCCAGGAGTTAGCGAGAGACACAGTATTGTACATCTTTTCCTATATTAGGACTGAGTAAAATAATTATACATAGATACTATAAACTTAATTTAGCAGGATATAACACACAAACTCAGTTATTTTGGGGAAAACACACTATATTGCCAAAATGTATTATAGACATAACGGTGAATATATGTATGCATTTCTGTCTATGAGTTGGAATTTTATGGCTAAGTGCATAAAGCCCACATATTACATCCTGGTCTATATTGATTAAACATGCCTAACTGAAATATCAATAATATAGCATCATTCAACTAATACCTTCTGGTTATTTGAATGTTACAATTATAAATTACGTTGTCACCAGTGATCACAGTTGTATACTGTTTCCACATGTATTTGAATACCAACTTACCCTTTACTGAAAAATGATTATATTATACTCACAACTGATGTAATTTCTCTGCTTCCTCAATCTTCCTCATCGTGGTCCATCAAATTATCCATTCTTTTCAACTATTCTTTAGTGCACAGCTCCTTAAAGAAAGTCAAATACAACCCATGAGTTACATAATTAGGTATCTCTCTCCACAGTGTCTGTGTATAAATACCCTCCATATAATTCTTAGTTATAGTATTATCACCTGAAAAATTTTATACATCTGCTAGACTGACATTGAAAGGGAAGTGTCATCTAAGATGGACACTTGTAAGATATTAGTATCCCAGTTTCTAAATCATAACTACTCTGAGTATGGTCTTTTCATGTTAAATACTGTTCATGTGTAATACTGTTCAATGAAATTCTCTGCTGCTCTCGGATTTTCAGAGAAAGAAATACATTCAGTATTGTGCACTTGGAGTGTCTTTAAAAAAAATTGTCAGTTGATCCAACAGTCCTGACCTCATGTTCTTTCCTTGCCATGGGTCACCTAGGAAAGAAAAGAGAGGTACAATAAGTAGAACACAGGTCGTACACATGCACGAACACATGATAATCTGTTAATACAACAAGCCTCCTGTAGGAGAACCAGCCTTTCAAAGGAAAAGCAGTCAGTAGTAAATGGTCCAACACCTTAAACAAATATAGCACAAAATGGATAAATCTCCACCATCACCTTTCATAACAAATTACAAGGTGAGGTGTTGATATAATTAAAAATCACAACCAATCCTAATTCAAAGTGTGGCAGGCAGGTGCTTGGCATTGATAAATACTTCTACCTTTTAGTTGCATGTAGAATAGGAAGCATGAAATCTAGCTAATAGAGATAAAGTATCTTCTTGAGCACACACTCCATTTCTCCATATTTGATTATATAAGTAAGTCATATATTTAGGAAGAAGGCCTTTCCATCAGAGATGTGGATAACAGTTTTAGCAATATTGATTTATGTTTGATGTGGGGTGTATGGAAACTTTTTGACCAATTACACAGCATGATTCAACCAACTCCTGTTACTGGAAGTTTACCTGGTAGAACGCCTAGCTGAGGAATGGTCTCCTTTATATACAGTGTGTTTCTAATATGGAGTTACTGAGAATATCAATCACAATTCACAGCTAGTTTAATTCCCGTGAGTAGTAGGAAAAAACAAAATGAAATACATGTTTTGTTTGTTTATTTGTTGTTTGTTTAATTGGCTGATTGTGTGTTTTGTTTTGTCATATTTCCTGTTTGTTTTCATTTTTTCTTAAAGATAGAAGAAGGATAATACGACATGTGTTTATGGAGTGTAAGAGGGATCTGGACAGAGTTAGGAGAGGGAAAGATTAATTAAATTATACTGTATGAAAAATTAATAAAACATAAAATGTATAATACACAAGAACAAGGATGGTTCTGTGAATGAAATATTCACTTAAAATAAAAAGAGAAAATCAACTTCTACCTGAATACACATGCTGGAGTGGCAGCCGTGTAAAAAAAACAAGAGACAAAAATAAACAAAATCTGCACTACACTAGAAATATAAAACAGCACTGGAAATCTAATTGTGCCTAATGCTGACTTGCTCAATCTGTTTTGTGCAGTTTCAGGAATGGTGGTCACACAGATCACTTTAATTTCTGACACAATAGGATAAAATCATCTTGGTCATCAGAAAGTTTGGAGTCTGGCCATGGTTCTGTCAAAAATTCTTCTTTGAGGCTTGGAAACAAGAATGAGCTTTGGTATTTCCAGAAAAACACACTGAGAGAAAACAGTTTGTTCATGATTTAGAATGATTAACAAAAGCTGATGAGAATAGAAATCTAGTTTTCACAGTTTTGATCTATGATTTTTCTAAACCCTTGGACCTCTGCAATCTACTGAAGATATGCTGTACCAGCCATTTGTTTATAACTTTCCTCAAGCAGGCAAACTATATAGCATATTAATAACAATTTGGTGTTCAAATCCTTCTGCAAATTTGTCTCCTGGGTGGGCTTCTACAGGCTATGACTGTTCATACATTTTCATGCTATCAGTGGGTCCTGTGATCTAACTGGGAATTTATCGCCCAATACTCTGTGCCCCTAATGCCATGGGACAGAGATTTGTTGTACCATATGAGGTCTCTGAACCCTCTTACTAACAATGTTTAGGTCATTTCACTCTGTGCTGCAGATGACAGCACATATGTGTCTGTGTAGCATCTGCAGTGGAAAAAAAAAAACATACTATAATCATCATTATATATGAGGATCTGACAGTCCTTTCTACTGAGTGATTATGTGTTTTTCCAGGTGAAGTGAGGAATCTTTATTCTCCTTTTCCAAACCTAGGTAACTACATGGGTGTACCCACAGATATGAGGAAATATGACAAACAAAATCATATGATTGTTATAGGACTTCAGTAAAAAATGACTGCAGAGTAGAATTGACTACTTCAGAATTTGAAAAACACACAAAAAATATTCATCTATTAGTGGACTAGGAAAGAGGGATACGGGAGGAAGAGGGGGAGATTTGGACTGGGAGGAGATGAGGGAGGGGGCTACAACTGAGATGCAAAGTGAATGAATTGTTAATAATAATAATGAAAAGTATATTTATCTGCTACATGAGTTTCTCAATGTAATAATTGTCATTGATCATAAAAGCCAATAAAGTGACAATAGAATACAACTACCTCATATAATAGACAAAAAGAAACAAAACAAAATAAAAAAGAGAAGTAAAAATAAAAAAAAAGACCAGCCTGATATAACTTGGTAAAACTGAAAACACAATCAGTAGAATCAGAAGTATTTTTAGATTACATTAGACAAGTCCAATACCAAAGAAGTATAAAATATCCTACTGAACAGATATTTTTACAAAACAATTCTATGGTGATTGAGATGTAAATTTTATAAAATAAATAAAAACAGTAAGGATATTAAAAAATTACAAGGTAATCATGTATATTTTTCCTGAATTATATATTTAACTCTCACTCACATAGACACACACACAAATAGTGTGTTTGTGTGTGTGAAATGCATAAAATTGGGAAGATAAATTTCCTAACATAAGCCATGGTTATCTAAAACAAACTCCAGACCCAGTCAGGAGAAATCTCCTAGGTTTGAGTTATTGGTAAATGCCCAAATATATCAGGGCACAGGGGTCTTTTATGAGACTGATTCTCCACCCAAGGACCATGCATGGATAAAACCTAGAACCCCTGCTCAGATGTAGCCCTTAATAGCTCAGTATCCAAGTGGGTACCCTAATAAGGGAAACAGGGACTGTTTCTGACATGAATTCAATGGCAGGCTCTTCCCGCCCCCGCCCCCCCCCCCCCCAGGGCCTCTTGCTAGGCCACAGAGGACAACTTTGCAGCCAGTCCTGAAGACAGCTGATAAACCAGTATCAGATGTAAAGGGAGTGGACTTGGAAAGGGGTAGGAGGAGATGAGGGTGGGAGGGTGGGATGGGGAGCGAAAGAGGAAGTGGGATACAAAGTTAACAAACTGTAACTAATAATAAAAAATAAAAATTAAAAGTATGTTTAAAAAAGATTTCAATTGAATTTACATGGAAGAAACTAATAGCGGAACATGAAAAGCAGAAAACTCCTCAATCTACAATACCACCAGCTAGGTGTAGGATCTCTGTCTTTAGTAGAGGCTCCTCAGAACACAGTCAAGAAGCACCTCCTCAGAATCTGAGATCAACATCAGCAGCATGGTCAGACTCTTCATCAGCATTATAAAGGAAAAAAAAAACACAAAAGTTTAGGAATAAATAGTAATTGTAAAATATGTACATTTTATTTTTGTATTTTCCTCTCATACATTATATCCTCACTGCAATTTCCTGTAGTCCACTCCTCCCATCTCCTACCCACCTCTGTTCTTGCCCACCTCCACTCTTGATCTGTTTCCCTTCAGCTATGAGCAGGCCGCCCAGGAATCTTAACCAAACATGGCATATCAAGTTGTAATAGAAAGAGGAACAACCCATCAGTTACATAGGTATCAGGAACCTAGGTCCAATCCATGTATGTTCTTTGGTTGGTGCTTCACTCTCTGTAAGCCCCATGGTCCTAGATTTGTTGACTCTGTTGATCTTCTTGTGTAGCTCTTGTCACCTGTGTGTCCTTCTATTCTTCGCCTCACCCTTCCACGAGATTTCTCAAGCTTCATTCAATGTTTGACTGTAGGTCTCATAATCTGTTTTGATCTGCTGCTGCGTGTAGCCTCTCAGAGGGCAGTTACACTAGGCTTCTGTCTGCAATCATTGCAAAGTATCATTAGTACTGTCTCTGTCCTATGGGATGGGTCTCAGGATGGGGTAGCCATTGGTTAGACATTCCCTCAATCTCTGCTTTATCTTTATCCCACACATCTTACAGGAAGGGTAAATTTGGGGTCAAAAGTTTTGTACATGAGTTGGTGTCCCCCTCCTTCCACTAGAAGTCCTGTCTGGCTAGGAGGTGGGTACTTCATTCTCCATGATCCCTGCTACTAGGAATCTCTGCTAGAGTTACCTCCATATACTCCCAGGAGTCTACCCTGTGGCAGGTCTCTAGTTTGTCCAAGAGATGCACTCCACCTCAGTTTTCCTTCTCTCTCTTAGCCCTCTCACCTCTTGAGATAGACTTCAGAACACTAAGGTGGCATACAGCTAAGTGCAGAAGTAAATTTGTAAAATATCTTTTATAAGAGCAGTCAAGGAAAAAAGAATTGAAATATCAAGTTACATGGCAATGTACAGTGAACTTTGTTTAAGCAGTATTCTGTAACTTTCTGATACATTTAATTAATTAAGTAAGTAAGTAAGTAAGTAATATTTCATGAATGGGTACTATATTTATATTGTATCTACCCCCTTCCTCTGCCTCCTACTTCCTCTGATGCCCCTAAACTCTCTTACAAACTCTTGACATCTTCTTCAGTTCTTTAGAGGCTAAAACACTTAATATCAATACCTGATCTAAATATTTAACTCATGCACCACTGAAATATTTCTCTGTTCAGGAATATAAATTGTGATCCATAGAGGATACCTTCCTGAAAGCTCAGCTGGTGAGGTCATCTTCGGGCTCCTATGGTGGTTTGGGGTTTAATTCCTTGTTGAGCTGAAATGAGTCACTAGGAAAAAAAAAATCGTTAGAGTTAATTTTTACTTACAGTTTCAAGTTACATTCCATCATTGGGAGGTCACAGTGGCAGGGGCTTAAGAGAACTGGCCATATAGTATCCATCCATGGCCAAGAAGCAGAGAGCTTGTCCACTTGTTTTCTACTGACAGAGAGAAAGAAGATATGAGGTTCCGGGGTTTGAGAGATGGGGATGGTTAGCTAGAAGCTGGAAGAGGGGAAGTGCTGATCAGAATATATTGTCAATATAAAAAGCGGAGTGAAATGAATGTATGCATACTAGTGCTTGGTCCGCCTTTGCCATTTTATACAATTTAGGATCTCCTGCCCAGAGGATGTTCCTGTCTACAACTAAGATGGTTCTTAAAATATCATCTAAGAAGACCAAGATGAGCCCTCACAGATAGTTATCCTAAGAGGTTGCCTCCAAGTTGATTTCAGATACTGTCAGCTAACAGTTAATCATATCAATGAGTATATAATGTTCATATTTTAATATATAGAATATTTGTTAAAACACAACAAAAGTTTTCTTTACAATAACAAAACACATATGAAAGGCTTACCATAAGTTTTTAGTGATGCCAATGTATCCTAATAACAAAACTCCACAAACATGACAGCATATTAGAGACAAATATGACTTAAGAATGCAGGGGTGGTCTGGTGGGCAGGAGAAGTTGGAGGGAGAGACTTGGGAGAGGGAAGGGAGAGAAAACTGTGCTTGGGATGTAATATATGAGAGAAGAATAGAAAAAAATAAAAGAATACATGTGAGGAACTGGAGGCATGGCTCAATAGCAAGTAGTACTGTCTGCTTTTCCAAGGATGCCACGTTCAATTCCCAAACCCACATGGCAACTCACAAATGTCTGTAAGTACAGTTCCAAGGGATCTTACATGATGTTCTGGCCACTAAAGGGAGCAGACAGGTATTCGAAGACAGTCATACATTCAAGCAAATAATGGACATATGTATTTTTGTACATGCTCTTTATATTTAGGCATAGAGAGTTTATAGACCCATTGCACAGATGTAGCCATGTCAGCTCAGTCTCCAAGTAGGTTCCCTAGTAAGGGGAACAGGGGCTATCTGATATGAACTTAGGCGCTGGGCTTTTTATCACCTCCCCCTGAGGAGGGAACAGCCTTACCAGGCCACAGAGGAAGACAATGCAGCCAGTCCTGATGAGACAGGATAGGCTAGGGTCATATGTAAGGGTTGGAGGACCTCCCCTAGCAATGGACTTGAGGAAGGGGATGGGAGGAATAAAAGGAGGAAAGGTGGGATTGGGAGGGGATGGGGAAGGGGCTACATCTGGGATAAAATGAATAAATTAAAAAAATAAAAAAGTGAATTAATTGTAATAATTTCTTTAAATAATAAAAATAAAATTTTAAATATACAAAAGAAAACTTTTCCAAACAATACTTTTGAAACAAAAATTACAAAAAGAGGAGCAAGGGTAAACACACAAACAATGGTTATATGAATCACAAGTGTAACAGAGCCCTGACGTTAGTAGGCCCCAAAATCTTAACACAACTGACTTAGCACACTTCTATGATAAAAGTACCATTCAGAGTATAAAACTCAGCATTTAGACAGTGCCTCCTGCCAAAACTACAACAAATACCTAATCAATCGATGTCCAGAGTTCAAGAAAGTCTCTTAATGCACTAAGCTTGCTTTTTGTATTTTGTAGTGTTGCTTCTGCTTAACTGTTCTTCTCAACTAAAATATGACAACCCAGACCATGGTTTCTATGCTTAAAAGTTCATACTGAAAACTGCTCAGTGCTTCACTGGGATCCTAAACACCCAATGTCATCACAAATCAACTAATACAGATTTTCTTTTGGCTTAACCCCATGTCTGAGGGGTCTTCTCTGGTGAATATCCCACAGCAACAAATACTCATTTAATATTTCTTTTAAAATAGTCAAGAGAGAAGACCCTGACTAAAATACCCATTCCCCATCCCTAAAGGCAAATAGGAAGGACATCAGAAGAAGAAAAAATGGGAAACAAGCTAGGAACCTGCCACAGAGAGCCTCTGAAAGGCCCTGCCCTGCAGACTATCAAAGTAGATGCTGAGACTTATGGCCAACTGTTGGGCAGTGTACATGGAATCTTATGTAAGAAGTGGGAAATAGTAAGATCTGGAGAGGACAGGAACTCCACAAGGAGAGCAACAGAACCAGAAATTTGAACTCAGGGGTCTTCCCAGAGACTCATACTCCAACCAAGTACCATGCATGGAGATAACCTAGAACCCCTGCATAGATGTAGCCCATGGCAGTTTAGTGTCCAAGGGGGTTCCATAGTAATGGGAAGAGGGACTGCCTCTGACATAATCTGATTGGCCTGCTCTTTGATCACCTCCCCCTGGGAGGGGAGCAGTCTTACCAGGTCACAGAAGATGACAATGCAGCCACTCCTGATGAGATCTGATAGACTAAGATCAGAAGGAAGGAGAGGAGGACCTCCCCTATCAATGGACTTGGAAAGAGGCATGTGTGAAGAAGGAGGAGGGAGGGTGGGATCTGGAGGGGAGGAGGGAGGGACTTATGGGGGGATACAAAGTGAATAAATTATAATTAATAAAAAATAAATAAAAAACAAAAATCAATAGTTAATATGTTACATTACATACATAATACTTATCTGATAGGAAGCACAGGATATATTTCACAAAGCCAAAATCACAACAAAAAAACACTAAGAAAACTAGGAAGACATTGGGTAAATGTACCAAAATTTCTGTGTCCATTCTTCAGTTAAGGGAGATCTAGGTTGTTTCCAGATTCTGGTGATTACTAATAGAGCTGCTATAAACATGGTTGAGCAACTGTCCTTGGTTGTATACTTGAGCATCTTTTGGATGTGTGCCTAGGAGTGGTATGGCTGGATCTTAAGGTAGCACTATTCCTAATTTTCTTTTTTTATAATTTTTATTTTTTATATTAATCACAGGTTATTTATTTTGTATCCCAGCCATAGCCCCTTTCCTCATTCCCTCCCAATCCCACCCTCCCTCCCTCATCTTCTCCCTGCCCCTTCCAAAGTCCACTGATAGGGGAGGTCCTTCTCTCCTTCCATCTCACCCTAGCTTAGCAGGTATCTTCAGGAATGGTTGCAATGTCCTCCTCTGTGGCCTAGCAAGGCTGTTCCTCTCTCAGAGCAGGGAGGAGGTCAAAGACGCAGCCATTACATTCATATAAGAAATAGTCCCTGTTCCCCTTACTACAGTATCCACTTGAATACTGAGCTAGCATGGGCTACATCCAAGCAGAAGTTCTAGGTTATATCCATACATGGTCCTTGGTTGGAGAAACAGTCTCATAAAAGACCCCTGTACCCTGATATAGTTGGTCCTTGTGGAGCTCCTATCCTCTCCACATCATACTAACTCTCCCTTCTTTCATATGATTCCCTGCACTCTGCTGAAGGTTTGGTTATAAGTCTCGACATCTGCTTTGATACACTGCTAGGTATTCTTTTAGAGGCCCTCTGTGGTAGGCTCCTGTCCTGTTACATGTTTTCTCCTACATCCAATGTCCATCTATTTGTCTTTCTAAGTGAGAACTGATCATCTTACCCCGGGTCTTCTTTCTTGTTTATCTTCTTTAGCTGTGCAGATTTTAGTATGTTTATCCTATTTATAGGTCTAGTACCCACTTATACGTGAGTATATACTGTGTGTGTCTTTCTGCTCCTGGGTTGCCTCACTCAGGATGATCTTTTCTATATCCTACCATTTGTCTGCAAAAGCCTAATTTTCTGAGAAAGTGCCAGACTGATTTCCAAAGTGGTTGTACAAGTTTACATTCATAAATGAAACATTATTAAAGCTTAAATCACATATCGATCCCAACACCTTAATAGTGGGAGACTTCAACATCTTACTATCACCAAAGGACAGATCATCTAGACAGAAAACAAATAGGGAAATAAAGGTACTTACAAAGGTCCTAAATCAAATGGTTCTAATAGATGTCTACAGAAATATTCACCCAAACTCAAAAGAGTATACTTCTTTTCAGCACCTCATGGAACTTTCTCTAAAATTGACCATATAGTTGGTCACAAAGCAAGCCTCAACAGATACAAGAAGAATGAAATAATACCTTGTATCCTATCAGACCATCATGGACTAAAACTGGACCCCAACAACAATGGAAATAGCAAAAAGCCTACACGCAAAAAGCCTACACGCACATGGAAACTGAACAACTTGCTGCTCAATGACAGCTGCATTAAGGAAGAAATAAAGAAAGAAATTAATGACCTCTAGGCTCTTCCCTATTTTTTCTTCTAACTGATTTAGTGTATCTGGTTTTATATTGAGGAGCATAGGTGGAGAAGGGGTAGGGAAGGTGGGATTAGGAGGGGAGGAGGAAGGGACTTATGGGGGGATACAAAGTGAATAAAGTGTAATTACTAAAAGTTAAAAAATAAATAAATAAAATAATATAAAAGAAAAATAAAAAAATTCATTTAAGTATGAGTATATGCAATAACACAAAATTTCAATTTATAAACAAAAATTAATAGTTGAAAAATGAAACTTGGTTATCACTCACATTACAATACCTTCACTGAGGTACATCAGTCCATGTCTAGAGTCCACGCTACTTCAGGATGAGAAGAACATCCACTCAGTGCATGAGCCTGAGGCAAGCAAGAGCAACACAGTGAGGCTTGGCTTTTTTGTTTGTTGTTTGTTTGGTTTGGTTTGGTTTTTGTTTGTTTGTTTGCCTTGTTTTGGATAGTAATAGATTTTGAATTAAAAGAAAGCAGGGGAGAAGAAATAAGAAGGAAGAAAAATAAGAGAAAAAGAAAATAAATGAATAATTATAGGCTATGTGTACTTAAATCTATTTAAACTTTGTGGGAAAATAAAAATAGGCCTTTACATATTTTAAATAAATTAAATAGTAATAGAAATTAAAATTAATATTTCATGATGAAATATATTTTCTGGGGATTTAGAGATTAAGCAAAGGTCTAGTCTAAAATCCTCAGGTATTTTACTTTTTTCACTACAATGAACAAACCAGTGCTTAAATTTATATGAAACTGCAAACAACTATCCAGTATAGTCAGGGCAATCCTGAAAACAAAAGAAAGGTGAATCACACACTCCTTCTTTTAGAACTTATAATAAATTGATAGCAGTTAAAACATTTAATTCTATTTATTTTTAGATATATATTTAGTGGAATAAAATTGGCATTGAAAATTAACCTTAATATTCACAATCAACTGATTTTAGAAATTTTTATGATATGTAATAGGGAATTTTATTTTAAAAAATGTTGGTCAAATTCAATGTCAAACACAATTAAGTCTGCTTACACCATACACATAATTACAGCAAAAATGACCATATGCCATACTGTTTCTAAAACTAAAAACAATATCAATAATTTATAAAAATAGTATAAGGATCAATCTTTATACAGTTTCTTAAATTGTAATTATTGGATGTGAAGCCAAACCTGAAGTGAATGAAAAAAAAAAAATGGACATAATGAAACAAATCCAAGTTAAATGGCTGTTATTCAAAATAAAGTCAAGCATATGAAAGGGCTTGAATTATAAGAGTTTAATTTTATGGAACAGTCTTTACCAATGAAAGATATGTTGTTGGAGTACAGCCAGAAGGCAGATGAACTTATAATACACAGCTTCTGCAAATTTACCTGATAGAATGTCACACACTTTCTAGCTGTATCTCTTCACATCCTCCCCTGTGATAGATTATAAATTACAATAAAGTATTAATACCTTAAATAGTAGCAAAAACAAACAAAAATGATAATAGAAAGAAAACATAATGTAATAAAGAAAATGCAGTTCAATCAATGGAATAAAGAATATTCCTTGAATAGCTGACAAGCATTTGTTCTCCAGGATATAAAAATACATTGTAACTCTAAATTTACAAGAAAATATCTTAAGAAAAATAAGTATTTAAATAAGCATTTATCCATAGTAGCTAAAGGAATATATTATTTGCATATTAAATTTCTCAATACTTTTCTTCCTCAGGCAATTACATGTCTAAATAGCCATGGAATGCACTTTATGATACATGAGGCATAGAAAAGTATAAAGGAATAAAATCTTAAAAAAACAAAAATACTCCACAAATAGTCCTTGGTTGGAGTATGAGTCTCTGGGAAGTTCCCTGTGTTCAAATTTTCATGGAGATAACCTGTCATGTGCACAGATGTAGCACATGACAGTTCAGTGTCCAAGTGGGTTACATAGTAATGGGAAGAGGGACTGCCTCTGACATAATCTGATTGGCCTGCCTGTGCTTTGAGCACCTCTCCCTGAGGGGGGAGCAGCCTTACCAGTCCATAGAAGATGACAATGCAGCCACAATGCAGCCACTCCTGATGTGATCTGATAGACTAAGATTAGAAGGAAGGAGAAGAGGACCTCCCCTATCAGTGGACTTGGGGAGGGGCATTCATGCAGAAGGGGAAGGGAGGGTGGGATCGGGAGGGGAGGAGGGAGGGGCTTATGGGGGCTTACAAACTGAATAAAGTGTAGTTAATAATAATAAAAAAGAAAAGAAAAAACCAAAATACTGAATAAGCGAATTGATGTAACAGTGTGAAAAGGGTTAGAGGTTAGTTTATAATAATAACCACAGTGTCACTTGGGTCATGAGAAAGTTGAATGGGTGAGATGAAGATGATGTTTTGAATACACCACATAGTACACAGCAAAATGCAGTGACACCGGAGAATCTGCACCCATGCCAAGCATACAAGGAAAGCTACCCACAGATAATTTTTATATGGCATTGAAAATAATTTTATGATTTTGTTTTGAAAATTGTATACAATTTTATAACATAATTAATAGGCTTACACTGTATAAATTAAACAGTATGTTCAGTTTACCTAAAGAGTAATACGGACAAAACAGTATAACTCTTTTTTGAATGTAGGAAATATCCCTGATTTCTGAAAGCAATGAGGAAAGAGATCTGACCCAGGTAGCTTAGAAAATGAAAATGGAGTTCACTGAAAATACAAAATTTAACTGATAATATTGATTCTCACTAGGAACTTCTGATTTTGCATATATCTTTAGGTTGATTTCCAAAATCAATAAAGTCAAGTTTCTCATTGATATAGAGGTTACATAGAATTAAAAAAAATGAAGTAAACTATTCATGTTCTACTGGATTTGATCACAAACCTGGTCACATTGTAGATGGTTGTAAACATGGATATAACTTGTGTAAATTTTTTTCTTTATTGAACTCTTCAATGAAAGGAATGGGAAATCTGTAAGGAAATGACAGATTTTAGGCTTTGTCAGAAAATCATTACAATTAGCATAGGTCCCCTTATAGAATTATACTTTTAGGCAAAATGTAAATGTTAGAAAAGAAAGAAGACCTAAGTTAGTGTCTATTTTTTTTTTCTCATCCCATGAATTCAAGGAGGAAATATCCAATTAAATACAGTTAAGACATGCAGGTAAGAAAAGTTATAAACGTTTAATGATTTCCTAAAAAGTTAAGAGAACACCTGTGTTATGTTATCCCCCTTCCCTTAATCCCTCTAAAAGCCCCATTTCCTGCTTTTTACCAGAACTCTAAGTCAAATACACAAGGTAAAGATCCAAAGCTACAGCCCACATATGAGAGGGACTGTGTGCTGTTTGATTCTGTGAACCTGGCCACTGATGCTGCTAGGAAAAGGAATGTAAGGTCTCTTCAGGTTTGTGGCTACGGGTAACTTTCTCATGTTGTAGTCAATGTAGCAACACCCATAGGAATACAAGGATCATTAACTAGCCTTAATAGTGTATTATGAGGGAAAGAAAGGAAGAATTGGGAGGGGCACAGTGGTAACAGTGATGAACTGAGGAGTGTTTGGGGATGGATATGATAAAAACACACTATATACACAAATGAACTTCTCAATGAATAACTTAATTTAAATAACATATTTTTGAAACAAAGTAAGTAAATATGATGTAGATTTTCAAAGGAATACTGTTTAACCATTCTCACAACAGAAACATGCAAAAACAACAAGATACACACAAAACCACAAACAGAACCTTTGCTTTAGAAAAGCAGAAATGGACCCCATAAAGTGGCCAGATATTATTCTTTGGCGACCGTTACATAAAAACAAACCACTATGTAGCATGTAGCAATCCTTTTTTTTTTTTTTTTTTTTTTTTTTTTTTTTTTTTTTTTTTTTTTTTCTAAAAATCCATTATGAATAATCAACCAGTAAAAACCACAGGTACCCACAGTATTGCTTGATAGGGACCGTAGGAGGGCCATATAAAAGAAAATGTCAAATTATAAGTTATAATTTTAAGCACATGGTAAAATCATGATGTTTTGTGTGCATAATACAAAGCAAGGGACAGAGACAGACAAGGGAAGATCTGTACCAATGCTGAAAATCTAAGAAAGGCTGCCCCCAGCGCAATGCCTTTCCACCCACGCTTTTACAAGGAATCCTTCTTCAAAGGATTCACATCACATCACTCATCGCTGTTCAAAGACCTCAAAGCTTACCTCCTGCCAAGGCTTTTATCGAGTGGAATGGTCGGCCTTGCCAATGTTGGACCCTCCATTTCATTCTCTGCGCAGCTGCAAACCCTGCCCATTCTCAGCATCCCAGAAGGCTGTTCGCAGCCTCCACCTAGTGGACACTAGGTGGCAATGTGAGCTGTGAATCTGAATTTCTGATTCAGGGAATTTATCTAAGCCTGAACTTTATTTATTTATTTGTTGGTTTGTTTAAGAAAACTAACATGGTCTTATTGACTTAGTAGTCTAGAGTCCTTATGAATTATGAAAGGAAGAGAAATGTGGTCAGAAGAAATCACTGTGGCCAAGCCTGCTAGCCCAGATCCCCAGCACACCTTTCTATGCCACTAATATCCTTCCTAAATCTAGACAGCCCTCCAGGAAATAGCCGAGATAAGAGCCTTATGTGCTTCCCTCACAAACAAGACGTCTTGTTCTTGGGGACAAATTAAGAAATAAACCCAATGATAAACAAATTACAAAATTCTTCCGCACAAGAAGCAGTTTTTCTGGGAAATACATTCCCATCTCCTTCTTACCTGTCCAGTAGCCTAGCTTTGCTCTTCTTACTCCTGTCATAGTCACCAGAGTTGTTCCCTGCCGTGTTGCAACTTTGGCCCTTTTTTAATTCCTGGTCTGTTGTCACAGACAGTTTTTCTCTACTCAGTATCTTTGCCTGACTCACTTGTCCATCATCTTCAGGGACCCTCTAAATTAGAACGCATCCTTTTCCATCCTATCTAGCTCTAATTTTTATCTCTGGATTTCCATGCAGCTCTCCCAACCTCAGCATCTTAGATTAATACTTTTTGGATCCCCTCAAAAATAAAATACCAGGGAATATGAAAACTGTGTTCATAGGTGTCTCTTGAAGTCCTACACATGCAGCAGAAAGAAGGTACACAGATTCTCCTGTATACATAAGTCACACAGGAATTACTTAATGTCTCAAACCCCTCACATATACTCTACCTGCTTGCCAATAAAAATAATCTTTGCTTTGAGGATTTGAAGCTGATCATCAACATCTTGCGTTATTTCTTCTCTTCTCAAGTCAAGACACAGTCTCAAATTCCCACCTTAACTCTTCTACCACCTTTTATCAACCTTTGGTAAACTGTCTGACAACATGGGTTCTCTCCTTATCTGTGTATCTTCTGGTTAAACTGCCTCTCTTAAACAAGTATCATCTATTCAATTTTATTAACCTGTTTCTCTAGACAAATATTTTCAAATCATTATTAGTTACTATAGTAACTAATCATTATTAGTTACTAGTTACTATATTTTGCCAATGCACTTCATTTCTTTAATGTGTAACGTTTTTGGTCTGGTAGCAAATGTCATGAACTGTCTGCTCATGATTAAACATGTCAAGAAATTTCTAGTACATGCAGGAAGATCACTTCTATCAAAACTTGCAGATTATGTATCCATAAAATATGTGGAGCTCACATAGAAGCTGGTGGAACTTGGTAAAAATCCGAATAACAGTCCCCTTGCCCCAGTTTCACTTGCTTTTAGTTATCTGCTTTCGTTGACAATAAAATTAAAAAAAATTGGCATGTTCCTATAATTTAAACACTTGGAAGGCAGAGACAGAAAGCAGGATCCCAGGCTTTGCTGGATACCCAGCCCCACATAATATATATGCTCAGGTCCCAGTGAAAATCTCAAAAAAATATTTACAGAAGTTTGATTCTAGCTGTTAGGCACAACTATACCCTGAAACTTTGCCTTAACAATAATTAAACACATACGCAATAAATCAAAGCAATTAATCCTCCTATATTCACAACTTATATTCTTTAAATCTTACAAGAGATTTATCTGTATTTCTCTTTAATGTGTAGTTTAATCCAGATTCCAGGAATTTTGAAGTTGTATTATTTAATCTCTACATACTTAAGCATTCATGTCTAAACCAGATATTTTCTCACATAAGCACAAACCTAAGTTATGTCCTACAACTGCACAAGATTTATCTGATATCAGTAACTTTCCAAAAGCATTGTTTATTGCTTTTGTCTTGAATTAGACTTCAAAGGAGCTAACACATTGCATTTTAAGTGGATGTAGCTTCTTTCTATATACTTTTTTAAGACAGAACCTCATGCAGCTCAGGAAGATCTACAATTCACTATGTAGCTGAGGGTGTCCTTTAATGTCATTCCTCCTTACACTGCCTCCCGAGTGATGCAAGTTTACCATCATATTCAACTCATATTAAGGCTCTGAAATGTCCTTTTTGGGTTTTTTATTTTTCTGAATATCTATTTATTATTATTCTTATTATTCTTATTATTCTTATCTATTTCCCAGTCATTTTTTAAATATTTTCCATGTCTTTTAATTTTGTAGAAGTAATATCTCTTCCAAAGTAGTTTACTGGACTAAGGAAGTAGCATAGTTGGTACAATATTTCTCATACAAGGAAGGGAATTAAGTTCAATCTCCAGGTCTTATGCAAAAAGCTAGGTGCTATGGCACACAGCTGTAATCTTAATACAAGCATGGCAAAGACAAATAAAAAAAAAAAATAACTGGTCATCCAGAAGAGCTGAAATGTGAGATCTATAGTTAGTGAAAGACCTTGCCTCAAAAAATTAAGTAAAAGGATTGGGAAAGAAAACTGGCATAGAAGTCTAACTTCAACACAAATGTATACCCACACCTGTATGTTTGTACATATAACACATACACACACAGAAATAATGTATGCATTAATTAAAACCTAAAGATGAATATTACTCAGAGATGTTTATATACTAAGTAGGGTTTTATCGCATTTCTGATATCTGGGAACAGATTTTGACATATGACCTATAAATCTGCTTAGCTTATAAGTTCTTGACTTCTAAAACATGTAAATTATAAAATCATAGGCAGTAGAAAAAGAAATAAAAGTCTCACTCACATAAGGCCACATAGTAGAAGTGTATCATTGGTTTTCCACTAGCTTCTGTTAGAAAGAACAGATGACTATAGAGGCTCCCTGTGCAATCAGATGGGAACGGATGCAGACACCCACAGCCAGAAATTATATAGAGAGGGAGTCTAAATTGGATATTTCCAATGGTTTCTTGCCCTCAGAGCATGAAAATCCTATTTAAAAGGGGGAGGAAAGATTGTAGGAATCAGAGGGAATAAAGAGCACAGCCTACTGATTCAACTAAGCAAGGTGCATATTGACTCACAGAGACTGAAGGGGTGATCATGGACCTGAACAAGTCTGCACCAGTCCTCTGTGTATAAGTTATGGCTGATTTCTTGGTGTTTTAATGGGACTTCTAACTGTGGGACAGGGTGTTCTTCTGACTCTTTGCCTACTCTTGGGACTCTTTCTTCTGTTGGGTTGGGCTGTTCTGTTTCAGTGTGAAGGCTTTTGTCTTGTCTTATTGTATTCTGTTTTGTTGTAATCTCTTGTAGGCCTTGTCTTTTTTTGATGATAGATAAAGTGGAGTGTATATGGGAGAGATGGGAGGTGAGTGGGAACTTGGAAAAGTGGAGGGATGGAAAAGAGTTGGAAAGAAAAATAAAATAACATTTGCAAAAAGAAACGATAGTGACATGTATGCCATGTGAACAAGGCTATTATAGGTTACCTTCTACTGATTTGAAGGTCACTTTGTTGAAACTACTGACATCTTCTATGGTTGTTGAATATTTCCTAGCATGTCCACTTTGATGTTATTAAGTAAAAAAAAAAAATTACCCACAAATCTTTCTAATGTAAAAGACTTTCTGAAAACATCTCTTAGGGATAGCTCTGAAGATGGATTACACATAAACAGACTGATCCACTTCCCCACCAACCATCTTTTTCCTTGCCTTAAATCATAACTTTTCCCATCCTATAAATATCTGCAAATGTTATCTGATAAATCATATTTGAGATGTGATCTCCTATCCTTACACATAGACATGAGACAAATAAAACATCTTTGACAACAGTCTCTTTGTGACTGGCCTACTAGGCAAGCAGCAAAGTGAGCTCATTTAGTGACAATACTAAGGCATCATTTACTTATCCAATATATTTTGTCAACTGTTTTCAAACCACAGAAGGTAACTGTTATAGTTTGATCTCAGCTGCTATAATAAACACAATGAGCAAAAGCAAGTTAGAAGGAGGAAATTTGTAATCTTACAAATTACAATCCATCCTATAAGGAAGCTAGGTCAGACGCTTAGGGAAAGAACATGGACCTAGGCATTGAAGCAAAAACCATAGAACACTGCTGTTTACTGCCTTACTTTCCATTGCTTGCTCAGCTTGATTTCATATGCAACCAAGGACCTTTCACATTAACCACAGAGCAAAAGAAAAACAATCCAGAGACATTTCTACAGGCTAAATCTGAGGTAATTCTTTAATTGATATTTATTTTCCCAAGTAACTCTAGTTTGTGTCAAACTGTCAAAACATTAACCAGTTCCACAAAATAGAAACAGAAGGAACACTACCAAACTCATTCTACGAAACCACAGTCACCTTGGTACCTAAACCTCACAAAGACCCAACAAAAAAATAGAATTTCAGGCCAATCTGCCTTATGAACATTGATGCAAAAATACTCAACAAAATACCTGCAAACCGAATGCAAGAACACATCAAAGATATCATCCACTACGACCAAGTAGGCTTCATCCCAGGTATGCAGAGGTGGATCAATATATGGAAATCCATCAATGTGATCCACCATATAAACAAACTTAAAGAAAAAAAAAACACATGATAATCTTCCTAGATGCTGAAAAAGCATTTGACAAAACCCAACATCCATTTATGTTTAAAGTCTTGGAGAGATCAGGGATACAAGACACATACATGAACATAGTAAAGACAACATACAGCAAGCCTATAACCAACATCAAACAAAATGGAGAGACACTTAAATCAATCCCACTGAAATCAGGAACAAGGCAAGGCTTCCCACTCCATATCTCTTCAACATAGTGCTTGAAGTCCTTGCTAGAGCAATAAGACAATTAAATGAGATCAAAGGCATACAGAATTGGAAAGGAAGAAGTCAAAGTATCACTATT